CCAAAGCCTTGGGACCCTGCATCCACGTGGAGACCCAGAGGAAGTTCCTGGCTCCTGGCTTAGGTTTGGATCAGCTTCAGTCGTTGTGGCCACTTGGGGAGTGAACCATCTCTGTCTCTCCTCTTTGTATATCTGCCTTTCCAATACAAAAAAATTAATAAATCTTTCAAAAAAAATTACAACCGTCATTGCAACTGCCACAAGGGAGAAATGGAGCTTTTTTCCTTTCTTAGTTTCTGAGTATAAAATAATATTTCTAGCTATGTAATTTATTGTTCAGAAAAATAAAGGTTCCCAAGCGCAACTGAGGTTCCACCACCCTGCTCAAAACACTGTATGTTTATATCATTCTGAAAAACAGCTTAAGAAGTTGATAATTTGTGTTCTCTTAAGGGATATAGAAGGCATAACAAACACTATAATTTTGTAATTTCTGTTTTGGTAAATTCATCTTTTATTTTACAGTGTATGTTATGCAGCAGTGTTTTTCATATTATACTTTAAGGGTTGTAATCACTACCTTTTGTGACTTTGATTTATGCTGTTGTTGAAACTTTTCATGAAAAGTAAAATATCACTTGTAAGATGTATGTCCTCTTAGTTTACTCTGTAAATCTTTTTTTTTTTCCATTTTCTCCATGTATGGACAGTTATATATAGAAAATGTTTAATTTTGTTCTATTCAAGTAAAGCATAGTGTTGTGCATAATATCATATAAAAAATTCAAACCTAGCAGTTATGCATACATGTTTATTCTAACACTGTCTAATTCATAACATGAAAGTATTGAGTTAAAAGTAGTAAAAGCTTCCCAAATTTTCATGTACCCAAATTGTGAGGATTAGGTTTTCATCATCAGACTGTCCATGGGACGTATCTACTGACAAAAATATTATTTGTGTTTCTTCCCAAGTTGATTGCTGCTATTGCTCTTAAAAAAAAAAATCAAATAATCGGGTCCAGTCCAATAGCTTAGCACCTAATGTCCTAACTTTTCCTGTACCAGGAATCCCAGATGGGCTCTGGTTTGTGTCCCAGTTGCCCTGTTTCCCATCTAGCTACCTGCTTGTGGCCTAGGAAAGCGGTAGAAGACGTCCCAAAACCTTGGGACCCTGTACCTGCATGAGAAACCTGGAAGAAAATCCTGGCTCCTGGCTTCAGGCTTGGATTGGCTCAGCTCCTGCTGTTTTGGTCACTTGGGGAGTGAACCAATGGATGGAAGACTTTTGTTTCTGGCCCTCCTCCTCTCTGTATATCTAACTTTCCAATTAAAATAAGAAATCTTTAAAACAAATGGTTCCCTTAGTCTCATTGTAGAGATGGTCCAACTGCTAATATTATTAGAATTGTCTCAGAAGCCTCAGTAACGCTCTGGGAAGCATGGCAATGGCTTGTTTTGGTTCATGAGACGCTATGCTTTGCTTGGTGCTGATGACACTGGGTAAGCATCCCTGTGACCCGGGAGAATGGCTGAGTGAGCCTTGCACCCTCTGTCACTGTAGATGCCTGCAGCTCAAGCATGTCACATCAGCAGTGCCGCCGGAGAACCAAACTGGCTGACAGTTGGTCTGTGATTATTCCTGGACCTGAGGCTCCTTCATGTTACAGTACGAATCAAGTCATCTCTCCAACTTATCATTAACTCAATTTGACCTGTAGGAGCAAACATGAAATCATTTTGGCAGGAATAACGGTGCCCTAACATTGAAATTATATGAAATATAAAAAGGTGGTTATCCTCAGTCCTTTCAGAGGGAAAATATCCAAATACAAAGAGTAAAAGACATTGTCTTCCAAATGCTCTTTTTTTGGCGGGGCGGGGGGCAGGCAGGGGGGTGTTCCTTTTTTTAATTTACTTACACTTGGAAGAAATTCAATCTTAATGCTTTCTTATTGCATGTAGACAGTATTTTCTCCGGTGGCCTGAAAATTCTCTTTTCTTGTATTTGTTTCAATAAATGCAATGGAAATTGTGTTTTGCAGTCAGCTTCTAACATTTCTGATGAAAAGACAGCCAGGAGCAGAGAGCTGCTGTCATGCTTCAGTGTTCTGAGTTTGTGTACATCTTTGACAAGATCTTCCCTTTTTTCCTTGGCATGAGCTTTGGGACATCTTCTATTTTTCTCTGACTGACAGCTTGATAATAAGTTTTATCATTAAAAACTGATTCTAGGAATATATGAATCTCGCCTTCTATTTTCCTGCAGCTGCTGAAGCTTTGTTTTGCACAACTCTTTAAGAGTAACGGGAGACGATCACTACAAAAGGACATGCTTATTGACCTCGCCCGTCCTGTTTAGTTTAGCAAGTTCTTAAAAAAAATGTTCCCTTTTATCTGTTACCTAAAACCGCTTATTAATTTATCATTGCTTTGAGTGGTGACACAAAGCCTGTGGGTTCTGTCTGTTCATGTTGCCTTTATGTTTATTAACCTTTTGAGCATTATGAAGTAAGTTCTGAATTTTATCTTTTGAACATGGGTTAAATATTTGACACATAAATTATTGAAGGCATGAATTCTGTGCTGTCTATTCTGTATTTAAGCAAGGACAGTGATTATTTTACTTCTTTTTGACATGTAAGTTTTCTGCCATTTTGTTTTGTTTAATCTTGAATTCACGTGGTCTTTCTGACTGTACTAATGAAGGAAGGTAGGCCATAAAAGACAATAAAAGAAATGTGAAAAATTAGTAACCTGCTAATCAATATTTGGCAGGAACATAATTAATTAGTGCTGATACTGCCTTGGCATACACACACATGAATCACATCATAGCTTTGAAAACTGCCTGTCATGAAAAAAAGAAAAGAAAAAAGCAACTATGCATGGGTGTCAGAATTTCTGCAACAGAGTAGGCTTATTTTTAATTCCATATTGCCATGAATTTTGCAAAGTATCTTTCTATATTGGAAATAGGTACGTTTTTCTAAATTTAATGGATAGTTTTATCCTAACTTTTTTGTTTGTGCATCACCACAAGAGGACATAATAAGAATTGATTTTTTTACCAAGAGTGAAATGTGAAAAGAACTGTATTTTTTTTCACTGTTCCAGTTCTATAATCTCATTTGTCATTTCTCCCATCACCCTTTTCTTGGAGTAAGATTTCCTGAAACACATGTGTCCTTAGCCTTCCTGATTTGCGTACTCAGTCTATATTTCGTGGATGCACTTCTAGCTTGAGCCCTCTGGTTGCTCATTGGTTTAGGGGAAGCAGTTGCATGAGAGTATGCATTGCACTGAGATTCAAGAAGAAGAAGAATGATCTCAAAAGTCTGATTTCATGATGTGTGTTTTTTTGTGCTAAATTCAAGCTATTTCAGACTCACTAATTTTCAAACTGTTACCATCATTTTCTGTTTTCTGGATCACAACTGTCAAATAAACTGAGTCTGCCATGCTGTGAATTCTACCAAATGGATATTTTAACTCTTCTAAATTATTACTACTTTTCATAGCAATTTATTGATTACATTTTTCTATCTGTTTGTATATGCTCTACCTAAAAAATACTGAGGAATAAATTTTTACTGTACTTAATTTCATCTGTATATCGGAATTGTAGAGTCATATACTCCATGTGTTTTCATGGGAAATCTTCCTTTAACATTTGGATACTTTCAGACCTAATTGTACAATAATATGAACATGGCCCCTAAATAATATCTAGCTACTATCCATCAACAACACTTTCATTTCCTGGAATACATGCCCATTGTCAGCAAGGCTCCAGAGCTCAAGGCAGTAGCAAGAAACTCAGAGTTTTCAAATGAATCATAGGGCCACAACCAAGAGAGCCATTATGCTCTGCATTTGCTGGAGATTAGAATCAAAATTTGGAGCTTGCATTTGAATCAATTTTTTCAACTACTAGGTCAGTTGCCCACCACTGCCTTGGAATTTTTAGGTGATCATAGAATAAGTTCCTGTTCAGGCTGCAGTGTCAAAAGATGTTTGTGTCCAACGCTATCTTTTCAGGCTAACTAGATTGAAGCATCACCGATTCACTGTTATGTCTTGGGAGGAAAACATTAGTGCAGTGTGACAACACAGCGAACACGTTCATAAGAGAAAAGAAAAGGGGGAAAGCAAGAAGGCTCCATACTGGAAGAGTCATGAAATTGGCAGGCTTCATCAGTACTTTTGAAATATTTATTTTTCTTTTTCTGACTGCTGATTTCCTTAGCTGAAGGAGGCATCACAAGATCTTGGCCTTTTTTCTTGTGGTCAAATTGGTATATTAAATTTTTGTTGCATATTGGTTTCTTGATTGTGTAGACTTGGCCAGTCCCAAGGCATTCATAAAGAAATTCAATTGATTTTTCGAAACAATTGATGTTAGTCTTACGTGAGGAAAGAGTATGCCTGGGAAGTAGTGATGAATGGATACTTGTCTTTGGAATACCTAGTTCTGCCAACATTTTCCAATTGAGTGGAATTGTCCTCCCAGTTTCTTTTGGGTAACAGTGAGTGGATTTGCAGATCTGAGTCTTTTATAGAAAAAGACAAGAGATCAAGAAGGAAGGAAGATATTGTAAACATCTACATGTGCTCTTGTAATTTTTCTGACTTCTTTTTTGCTTTGATGAACAGCGTCATCTGAGGTAATTAATGTTAGCTCATGAATGCATGATTTTTTGAAAATGGTAGTTCGGTGTTACAGACTAATTAGCCTACCGCATAGCTTGGTGACATGACAAATCATAGTTTGTTGACTCTTATCCATCATGATACATTAGCTAATCCACTTGCTCATTAATGAGAAAAGAAAAGGGATACAGAGAACTGAGCAGTAACAAGTGTAAAGGCTTGTGGACGATTTTTCAGGTTTTAATTCTCTGCCAAGTTCATGAATACTATGCATTATGAACACACACAAATGGAAAAGAAAAATGACTTCACATTTTCTTCAGGATGTGCTTATGCTAGATCGTACTCTGTGTATCCAAGATCACTGATGATTGACAGCTATCTGAAACCCTGCCTTTTTTTTTTCAGAACCTATGCGAACCCCAAAGACATTAAAAATTGCCGAAATACAGGCAAGACGCATTGCTGTGGATTGGGAATCCTTGGGCTACAACATTACTCGGTGCCACACGTTCAATGTCACGATCTGCTACCATTTCTTTCGTGGTCACAATGAGAGCAAGGCGGACTGTTTAGACATGGATCCCAAAGCCCCTCAACATGTTGTGGACCATCTGCCTCCTTATACAAATGTCAGCCTCAAGATGATCCTAACCAATCCTGAAGGAAGAAAGGAGAGTGAGGAGACAATTATTCAAACTGATGAAGATGGTATGCTCATACTTCCTTACTTCATTAAAAAAGGGAATTGTGTGACTGAATAAACATTAACATTATACATACATCCACTTTTGCACTGTATCACTAATGCACATATGATCCCATTTCTATCTTTAACAAAGATGTATACACAAGTGTACACATTTTAATGTAGTGACTATAAAAGTAATCAATTATTTTGATATAACGTTTCATTTCCAAATTTCCTTTTCCAAATACTGTGTGTGCTGTGCAATGAACTGAAGCAAAGCTAAGCCGGGAATTTATAATGAGAAGCTTTACATTCTGTTTTCATAATTCCAACCGTAACAAATTCCTCCACCATTCTAACTATCGATTTCTCATTTCTAAATGTAGGATTTATATTAGGTGATCATTAAGGTTACTTCTATTTCTAAAATTTATCAGTAATCCCACAGTTGGACTATAGGATTGTTTTTTAATTATCTGTTTCCTGCTTCCATCTAGTTCTAAATTATTGGCTTAGATGCAATTTTGGTGCCTGCAAGGTACAAAACTTCCAAAAGTATATTGATATGCTGTGGTTTCTACAACTATTTCTTATCACTTCATATCTTCCTACTCTGAAAAACAGAAGCAATACTGGTTTATCCCACTGTTTTTGTTGTCATAAAAAGAAGAGGTGAGACATCCTTATTTCAGTACAGTGTTGAAGAGAAAACATTGTATGACTCTCTAATTAAGTATGGATTCCTTCCCATGATTCTCAAGTTTCAGGGAAATGCCCAAAGGTTCATTTATAATGAATCTCCTTTTTCAGGATTGGAATACTCAGGTAGAATGTCCTCAGCTGTTATCATTGTACTTGCACATAATTGAAAGGCAAAATATTCAAACAACAGCTCTGCCTAACTTATAAACATACAGACAGCCCTACATTCTTCCACTTCCAACTACATATACACAGAACTTGAGGTCTTTAATATAAGAAAAATTAATAGATCTTACATAGGTGTTTGATAGCAATGGAAAGATTAAAAAAACTGAAATTCCTTTCTCATAAAGTGAGATAGATGTTATAGCATCTGTGTGATGATACGCAGGATGGTTTGTGAGCTTGCTGTTCAATGACAAACAAACCAATGCAGTCAGTCTTACAAGGTTTCTATGTTTTATTAAATCTTCAAGTGACATTTTGTATATCATATGATTGGAGTAATGATGGAGGAATGAACAGCTAAGATATTTTAAATCATATCCAAAGTTAATAAAAATTAATGACATCATTACTTGATCAAAAATAATATTACAAGGTAAAACGATATTAACTGTGTATTTATTCTGTTTTACTTTTAGATGATTGTGTTAGAAGAATTTTGTTTACTTTACTGATGTTGTTTCAAATATTATTCAACAGTGTAGTCACAAACTAATCCACTCTGCTGTGCCTGTCTTTTTGTTTTTATTTCATGAATATTATGTGAGGATTGATGTGCAAGCTTTTATGAAGTATTTTGAAGTAATTCTGTTTTCAGATGTGCGCATGTGCACTTGTTTCCACACAGAGCACTTGATGTGTCTTACTGTTCCTGAGGGGGGAAAGGATATCTAAGTCATAATCTGTTGTTGCAAAGATCGATGGCTTATGATGATCTGATTAAGTCAGTCTTACTAAATTATTGCTGCCCTATATACATAGAAAAAGAATGAATTATCAGCCATCTAATAAAAGGACATAATTTTATGAAAAGAATTCTTGGGACATCCATAAATCATGAGAGCAAAGCTGGAGTGATTTCCCACCAGAACCCGAAGGTAGAATTTATATTTAATTTATTACACACATTTTTTTAATGCATGGGCAGAATTTTTATATGAGCTTTAGTTTTCATTTTTTATTCTGGCATTCATAAAAATCAATATTATGAAGTTAGCTCAGCAGAAAAATCTGGCTGGAGGACATTTTGAGGGAATACTAAGCTATTTTTGAAAGTGCATGTATTAAAGGCTATAATGCTTATTTAATATACTCCTGCCCCACCCACCTCTCATTTTTCTTCTGTTACATTTTGGGATTTGGATATTAAAGTGCTCTTCATATTCAAAAAAGATTAGCTGAAACAGTTCTCCTATAAATCGCAATCAAGGGGGGGGCGATATGAGCGCTCTCTGTGAGAAGTTGCTAATGCAGAGATGTGATGTGACATTCTCTGTGACTCACGGCTGCCATAAAAACCGTTGTATAACTTCATGTTGTATTTACACACATATAAGTACATGGAAACATGGTGTGTTCAGGCAGACATCAGCTTCCTTCTAATGCAAAATGTTATGCTGCCATCGCACCCACAAATGTTAATGTGTATTTTGTACTTCACCTATATGTAGGTTTTTTTTTATGCACTACACTAGTCCAAGTACAGACTGTTGTATAGTGTTCGTTTTCATACCCTTTTGTTCCACACGTTTTCCCTCTTATTAATTTGACTTTGTGGTTACTTAAAGCAAATTCAACTGAAAACAATAATTTTAAGAACCTAGAAATACAAAACTCCTAGGGAAGTTTTGTAATTCCAACTGTTCTTCAACACAAAGCTTCTCACAGTTTACATCACCCCTGTTTATGAAATCTTGATGTTTTGTACTGTTTGTATCCAACTGTGATAAATGAAAATACTCTTATTAATATTAAAGTGTCTTGGAATAAGCATTCACTCACTACGTGGAGTTTTTGCCTGCGACCCCTACCCTGGTGACCATCTCCAAGAAATATATACAGATGTAAAAGTATCTGTTCCTTAATTACAGTCATAAAGTATATCGAGTCAGTGGAACAGAAGCAGCAGGCACTACCTTGGAAAACACGACAATGCCCGTAGCAACCTAAGGGAATGCCAGAGATGATGTGGTCCCGCTGTTGCTGTTGTTGCGTTTGCAAGGCCACCTGTGCCTGCGGGTGGACTGGAGGTGGGAGAGGGACCCAGATGCAGTTAACCTTTCCTAAGGCCTTCAGTTGACAGATGCATCAACATGGCTTCCCAAGTTCAGTGCTGACTTTTTTTCTGTTTACTGTGTGTTTCTTTCCTTTATACATTTATAATTAATGTGCCAAATCATGTTGTCTGTCTCAGAGGTCATAATATCATTTATAGTCTCCTTGTAGATTAAAATAAATCTTATTCTTGACATATCATTCAGAGCTTCTTGATGCTGTTAGCCACAATGCAATGCATTCCTTTGATCCAGTGATTTTTAATTTATTTCAATCCTCACAAAATTGCTCTATACTTTGAAATGACATTTCTAGATAATGTCATGTGTGAAGTTCACTGAAACGTGAGATTAAGGGAAAATATTAATTAAAAATCATGCTTGCCCAATGCTAGGTTGATATTTTCAAAAGGAAGCATGCTTTTTAAGCCAGATAGGATAAATAAAATATATTTATGAAACATTATCAGAAGTATAAGCTAGGTTTAAGTGAATGATTAGCTGCTGAATAGTTAAATGTATAAAACAAAACTACACTGAAGTACAAGCACCTTATATTTTGTCAACAAAGGGTAAGGCAATATTAAACACCGCTAGTGGTTACCACAAGTATATAACATTTTCAGGTTATTTCTAAAGTGAAGGCTCCTCAAATATGTACGCAGTCATTTGAAAGTAGTTTACAGATTGTTGAATTATAAATAACTCTGATGTTAATACATGTAACTTTGATGATTGAATTTTATTTTAATAAAGGCATCACTGATACCTAAATCCATTCAGCTTTAACAAATTGTTAAAACTTAACAATAACCAGTGCTGCCTATTTTTAAAATTACACAAAGTCTAGTACATATAGCAATAGCGGACATTTCAATTCAGTGCTATGAGATTTGGTTTTTTGAGTCCAAGGAGCATTGGTCGTTATTATAATTCATTGTTTTATGAACTTTGCTTACATAAACCCTTTAGGGGATTATTCTAAATCTTCCAAAATCTTTCAGGGAAATCAGCTCTAATCTTGAAACAGATTACAAATGAGATCTTCGTATTACTAGAGGTATACAGCAGAGAATACTAAACTGCGTAGCATATGCAACTGTGAGGTGATGGGTATTCTTTTGAGTACGAATAACTATAACTGTTTCTATATTTTTATTTATGTCACTTTATGTCTAACTTTGTATATCTAGCTTAAAATATAGATACTTTTTTGTTTTTAATATACGCATTCTTAAAAATGAAAATGTATGTCTTTGTAGTGCCTGGTCCTGTACCTGTCAAATCACTTCAAGGAACATCCTTTGAAAATAAGATCTTCTTGAATTGGAAAGAACCTTTGGAACCAAATGGAATCATCACTCAGTATGAGGTAATGAGAGAATAAGAAGTGTTTTTTGGAACTGAAGGACTAAGGGCCTCAAAAAAACAAAGGGAAAAATTAAATGGAAATAATGGGAAAAAATGTGTGAAGAATAGGAGATTAAAATTGCTTTGCTTCCATTTTTCTTTCATTCTAAAATTGAGTAACATATATACCATGTAAAATTTTCAAAGTCTTAAGGTGTCTGCATATTTTTTGGTTTTGTTTCAGGATTATTCATATAAAACATGTTGGGTAATGATTTTAATGAATGATCTAACATAAAATCCCTTGTTTCCCTTTTATATAAAATTAAGAAACATTTCATACTATAATTTAAGAGAAATAAAGGATGAAAAACAAAGACTTTAAGTGGATTAAAAGTATGAGTATTCTAGAGCTTTATGTCAACTTTGAGTGTGAATCATCTTTTTTAAGTATGAGAGAGGAAAGAGAAGAAAGGAAAGATCATTCTAATTTCAAAAATCTGCAGTTGCATTGCTACTCAGTGATTAGCATGTGGAGGTGTAAATTCCGAGAAGCTACGGAATGAATCATGACTAGTGGGCAACACAAATGATTCATTTTATTTTCTGATTGTATACTTGAGTACTACTTATGTGAAATTTGTCGTGTAATATGGAAAAAGTATAAACTTTTTGTATACTTTCTGTGTTTCATAGATATTAAAATCCATGAAATTTTATGTAGAAGCATAAATATATAGAGAGAAATATATATGAAATTTGTTTCTCTACTTGAAGAGGGTCTATGTATTTTGTCCATTTAGACATAGTTTTAGGTATATCTGTACAGGGATGGTGGGTGCATAGCAGAAGTAGCCTGTCAAAGCAAGGAGATTATGTGGGGGAAAAAAATACTGCCCTGGCTTATTACCTTATTTGAAAAGGTTGCAATTGCAATTAATTATGACTGATTTTGGCTATGTAATGGAATAATGTATTTTATCCAACAGGTCAGCTATAGCAGCATAAGATCCTTTGATCCGGCGGTTCCGGTAGCAGGACCTCCCCAGACTGTGTCAAATCTGTGGAACAGCACTCACCATGTCTTCATGCATCTCCACCCTGGGACCACCTATCAGTTTTTCATTCGAGCCAGCACTGTCAAAGGCTTTGGACCACCCACAGCCATCAACGTGACTACTAATATCTCAGGTGTGCAAATGAATAAAGTACAAATAAGATAGTTAATTCTCTCCATTCATAAGAATACGTCCTAGAGAATTATGTATACATTGAGTGAGGTTCGTCTTGCTTGCTCAGTGTGTGATGTGTTAATGCATGACTGAAGGCTCTGTGAAGAATCACTTGAATACAAATTGTATGTCCAAGTCCAAGCTACTCAGAGTCACTTTTAATTAGCAATATCTTCCTGAAAATCATGTGCATCTTACTAAAAAAACGTTCCAAGTTTATTGGAACTAGTCGTATGCCATATTAGATTTTGTCAGATCCTTACATTAAATTGACTTTATCTAAAGAGTGGTGGAGCATCCTTGCCCTAATATCATAAAACATCGTTGCTCAACTCCATTCCATTTTCCTTGATGTTCTGATAGTTACAAAACATGTGGGTTTTCCTGTCTGTCTTATAAAACTCACATAAATGAATCTAAATTTCACAATGGGAACATGCAGGATAATTTTAGGTTGACAAATATAATTAAATTTCACATTCCATTATGTTTAGAGTTGTATAGCCTGTTTGATTAGATTGTTTACAGATGTTATTTCAGCTTCAGTCAAATCACCAGTGAAACCTGATTACATTTTTCCTAGGAATTAGCATTACAATGAATCCATTCCAGTTTATATAAGGTCTTATCTTCTTTATTTAAGATTAGTGAAGAAAAACTAGACTTGAAAAATAAATGTTTTTAAAATCAGCCATAAAATATGTGAAAACATTAATTTTGACTGTTTAAATTTCATTTTCTTTATTAATTTGATTTCCATTATACTTCTACATAGCACAATTAATGATTGATCCTAACACTCTACAAAATTCTGTCCCTGGCCTGGATCCATAACATTTCCGTCAAAAGGCAGATATGTTGTGCTTTAATTATATTTTTAAATGTATTATTTTAATTATTTTTATTTTTGATGATTTTTACATAGTCGATTAGTATGATAAGGGTCAAAGGCTACAGGAAGGTGGGTGAGATCACCATTTTCACTTCCTCTTTTTTTTCTTCCTATATCTGGGGGAAAGAGGGACAAAGGGGAGAAGCACACCCAGCCTCCCAAGCATCCCAGAGCCCCGGACATGGGGCATGCTGTGATGAGAGATTTCGACGGTTCAACAGTTCTGAATTAATGAGAGAGAATGAGAGAGATATCTTCCATCTTCTGCTTCACTCCCCAGTTGGCTGAAAAGGCTGGAGCTGAACTGATCCAAACCTGGGAGCCAGGAGCTTCTTCTAGGTATCCCACATGGATGCAGGGGCCCAAGGACATGAACCAGTCTCTGCTGCTGTCCTGTCCAAAAGCAAGGTGCTGGCTCAGGTAGAGCCAAGGCCCATGTGGATGCCAGCACTACGAAGTAGAGGATTAGACTCTTGGACCAATTTACTAGCCATCTACTTTCTTTTTTTTAAACCTAAGTGAAAGTGTATATGTTACAGTTTCCCAGAAGCTTGTTCATTCCCTAAATGACCACAGTGGCAAAGGGGTGAAACACCTGGATTAAGATTAAAAAGCACAATGTACTGACTGGCTAGAGGTCTGCAGTGAAGGAAAGCTAGTAGTGAGAGCCATAGCCAGCAGTGTCACAGTACTCCAATATGGATTGGGACATTTAAAAAAAGATTCATTTATTTTTATTGGAAAGTCAGATATACAAAGAGGAGAAGTAGAGAGAAAGATCTTTTGTCCAATGGTTCACACCCCAAGCGGCTGCGACAGCTGGAGCTGACCAGATCCAAAGCCAGGAGCCTCTTCCAGGTCTCCCATGTGGGTGCAGGGTCCCAAGCTTTGGTCCATCTTCAACTGCTTTCCCAGGCCACATACAGTGAGCTGGATGGGAAACAGGGTCACTGGAATATGAACTGGCGCCCATATAGGATCCCGGTGCGTTCAAGGCTAGGACTTTTACTGCTAAGCTATCATGCTGGGCCAGATTTGGGTATATTAGTAGTGATCTTAACCACAAGTTCAGTGCTTACCCACAGAAATTTGTTGAATATGATGCAAACTTTAAAAACATATCACAAATAAAATTATTCTGAGGTTTGCACATTTGATTAATCTTCATATTTAAATTATGTTTTGAAGCTCTCATTTATTATTTTGAAAATGACAATGCATTAAATGCCAGTATGACAGTTGGCTTGGTGATACAGAGTCAACTCACTGCCTACAAACCCCAGTTCCCCTATGAAACTGCTGGTTTGAGTCCTGACTGTTCTACTTCCATTCCAACTCCCTACCACACGGAATAGCAGCAGAAAGTAAAGTTCTTGGGCCCCTAATGGCATTCAACATGCCTGGCTTCAGTCTCACTGATCCCACTGCTGGAACCACGTATGGAGTGAACCAGCAAATGGAAGATTTCCGTGTGTCTGTTCCTCTCTGTTACACACAACTTTTCAAATAAGTGAATGAATCTTGGAAAACAAAACTCTGGAGTAGGTGTATTACTTAGCAGTTCTGAAGCCCATGGAGCACCTATTTCCCATTTTAGAATGCCTGGAGTCAAGTCCAAGTTTAGCTCTTATCTCCAGGGTCCTTCTCATCTCTACATACCCTGGGTGTCGTTGGATATTACTCAAATAAGTGTGTCCCTGCCAACCGTGTGAAAGACCTAGGTCAGATTCCAGGATCTCAGCTTAGTCTTTAGTCCCAACCACTAAAGCCATATGGGGAATAAGCCAGGGGATCAGAGCCCGTCCTCTCTCTTAAGAAAGAAATTTTACAAAAATTGAAAGCATAATTTTCATTTTTTCTGGTGAAACCATTCTGAAACATCAATTGAAAACATTTATGTTATCACATTACTACATAATAATAATATTTTAGCAATGTTTTAACCTACTGCAGCATGTGTCTTACCCTGTAGAATTATCATTAGTGCTAAAACTAAAATCTTTCAACAGCTAAAGCTAAGAAATATAAATTGATGAAACAATAATTGAACACATGTACATTGTTGAGAGTTATGGGCATACATAGGCACATGCATACATTAACTTATGTCTTAGACATTGTAGTTGTGTTGAACTAAAAATGTATAAAGACTAGAGCACAGATCTAAATATCTTTGAATTATTTTAGTTTCACTTGTCTCAACCTAAGTAGATTGAGTTCTGTATTAAGCATAATATTGAGTTGTATGTTAAGAATTGTACCTGAAAAACACAGTTGAACTCAAACTGTACTGGGCCCTGCTAGCTGTCATAACTAAGGCTGAAAAAAAAAACATAATTAGAATGATTCCCAACAAAATGTAATTTTAAAATAATTTGTTATTTCTTCATTAAATCTGGGAATAATATTCATCACAGTTTTAAAATCAATTCCAGTAACACTCAGATTATTGAGATTTTAGAAATAAAAACATTTATATACATATAGACATGGGCAAATATATTGAACATCTGTTTGGTTCACCTTTTTGTAAGGTTCACTTGTTTGTAATGCAATGTTACAGAGAGAAAGGAAGAGAGAGAGCAAGAGAGAGAAAAGGAGAGAAGGATATTTTCCATTTTCTGGCTTACTTCCCAAATGTCATAATTTCTTTTTCTGTATTTGGATACGTGTTTAAAATGTCTGTGTTACTCTGCCTTCACACTTACCCTCCTTCAATTTATTTTCTATCAGTTTTCATCTAACATATATTTCCTTTTTTATTTACACACACACACACGGGGGCCAATGCAGTGGTATAGCAACCTAATCCTTTACCTGTGGTGCTGGCATCCCAAATGGGCACCAGTCTGTGTCCAGCTATTCTGCTGATCCAGCCCGCTGCTTATATCCTAGGAAAATAGTAAATGATGGCATCTTTCCCTGGGCCCAGGCACCTACAGTGGGGGCATGGAGGAAGCTCTGGGCTCCTGGATTTGGATCAGATCAAGCTCCCAGCATTATAGCCGTTTGAGAAATGGAGCTGGGGTTGGGAAATCAATCCCCACCCCATCTATCTCTCTCTTCTCTCTTCTATCTTCTCTCTTTTCACTCTCTCTCTCTCCCTCCCTCCCTTTGTAAATCTGTGTTTCAAGTAAAAATATTTACATCTCGGGTGTGTGTGTGTGTGTGTGCAACCAGCAGGATCATATCCAAGCATCCCCTCATGCCTGGCTCACCCTTGTGGGGCTCTTTCTTCCATTTCTCCCCATGTGCCACAAGGTCTAGCAACAGAGTGATGCTTATAGTTGTTAGAATACATCATGTAGTTTTATGTTTTCTTCTCTTCAAGCAGCCCATGCTGTTTCTTCATTCTGCAATTTTAGTCCTTTTTTTATATCTTGCTAATCAGTTTCCAACTTCTGAAAAATGAACTCAAATATTTCCTAAGCCTTGAAATTTTCCAGTAGTTTTAAGCTGTTTTTGTTACTTTCACTAAAATACCCGAGAGGCTTTTTTTTTTTATGCCATGAGGTCTATTTCACGGTATGGTTTGGAGATTTTAGTTCGGGACTCACCAGTCCAATAGCCCAAACCTAACCTAAGATATCTTAGGTTAAACATCTTCATGAGTTTTTGGAACCAACGTCTCCTTAATGTGTAAAACCTATTTCATTGTCCCATCTCCTAACACTTACTTGACAAGTGTGTTCTCCTGGCTAGCACCATGAGCATCACCTGGAAATATTCTAGAACCACACTCCTGAACTGATTGGCTGGGAGACTCCTGTGGAGAGGGTGTGAGCCTTGGTTTAAGAATCCCTCCATTGTCCTTGGAGTTTACAGGTTTGGCCACTGTTAGTATAGCAGGTTAAGGTCCTTAACTCATTTAGCTTCTTAACATTTTGATTATTTTTGTTTGGTTTTGCAGATTCTCTCCATAAATATGAATTCCTGTTTTTTTTAATTCAACAATGCTTTGTTCTTTATATTTATGCACATATAAGCTCAGTATAAACTACTGTGTCCAGTAATTGTTGAACTAAATAAATGCTTCAGAAATGCATTACATGCCACTTGCTTTCCGTGTTTTCTAGTGATGCACACAATTTGCTGAGTGTATACTCCTTTAAACATCTTTCCACATATAAAAAACCCATAGTTCTTTGAGATCACTCCTTTACCTAGTTTGAGATAGGAAGTCTTCCTCCTCCCACTCATAGCAAACATTATCCTGTATTTTGAAAACATGTAATTTCCTTCCGTTCACAAGTTAGAGCACAAGAGCACTAGTTCTTGGGAGTGAGAACGAAGGTGCCCATCCTCATTCACCAGTCTTGATTGGCAGCGTTTCCTTCTGTCCACGGTGGCCCAGAGGGAGATGCTGAGTTTTTCCACTGCCTCCAACCATCGGTGGCAGTGCTTCCCAGGCTACCCTTCCCTCAGTTTCTACCAACCACAGCTCCAAATATCCTTGTCTGAATATTGTACTGATAATCCTCAGCTTCTACTCTGAACCCTTATTGCTCACCTGAAGGTCTTCATAAACTATGTGATACTCATGTCACACATGGCTCTGTTGTTTAAATTTCAGCAACAAATCTTAGCCTGAATGCATCCTAAACTTTAGATTCCTGCTGTTAATGTTCAATGGCAGACGGTGTGCAAATAACGCATGCTTTTATCTAATTAGGTATTTCATTGATTTTATCCTATGTTAGAATCATTTCTCAATCTTGATCCTTGATATTCTACTATGAGTTGATAGAAACTTTCTGTTTGTCTCATTGCTCACTTATCAGCTCCGACTTTACCCGACTATGAAGGAGTCGATGCGTCTCTCAATGAAACTGCCACTACGATAACTGTATTGTTGAGACCAGCTCAAGCCAAAGGTGCACCTATCAGGTAGGCATGGGGAAAAAAATCTGTAAAACAAATCAATCTCGGCTTTTTGGCTAAGATCAAGTGTAAAAATAGGTAAAGAAAAAAGGAGCCAGGAGAAGAATCATTAGCTTACAGCCTAAAGCATATCACCCTAAAGCATGTTCTTTTTTCTCTGTGACATTAATTTAATAAGTACCAACAAAAAGTTTTAATTTTAATTTTTTTTCCACCTTGAGAATTTCTGCATGTGGTCTTGTAGTCTCTATAAGTTGCACGGAACTCTAAGATGTTAATGAACTGAACCATTCGCCTCTACACTGTTTAAGAGTTTTGAATTTTCCCCCCATCAGTCTTTTTTTTTTTTTTATTTCACATTTTTGGTTGGTGTCTATGGGCATAAAGGATTTGTCAGATATTTGTCAGAAATACAATAAAGAAATAATTCTTGTCCAGTGCAGTCGTTCAGTTATAAATAATTTTACATGAGTGATTGAAACATAGGAGACTTTGAGGACATACAAGCAGTGTGATTATAATGAATGAATCCTATGTGGTTTCTAACTCCTGAACTGCTCCTTCTCGAAAGTTTCATCATAAATATCAAAGTTCAGTTTGTGTTTCCTTTATCTTTCCAATTAAATTTTTTAACGTTTTCTTAATATTCCCCATCTTTACAGAAGAGTGTGAGCTACATCATGTTTAGGAATTGACTCAAATTATTACAGTCATTTCAGTATTTCACATCTACAATCCGATGAATGTCCTAAACTCAAGCAATTTTCCATTTGAGTCTTGTAGATTTTATGGAAATTTTGATATCAAGCTCCTGTTGAAAAGTAATTTACCATGCAGGTGTTTCCTCATATAAACAGACATATCAAGCTACTTATGTGCTTATTTATCAAAGTAAAGTTAAGATTTGTTCTGTGTGTGTAAAGTGAACATATTTGACATCATGCAAACAGATCAACTACTCAGGGAATCCTATGTCACTAAAGGAAAGAAATGTATTTCTCAATTTAAAAAGCACATATTCATAGAAGAACATCAGTCATAAAGCATGAGTTCTATTTCACTATAAGAGAGAGCTGTACTACACTGCAAAAGAAAGATGGGTGAGTGTGCTTAGCACCTAAGCACTCATGAAGTGCTGGGTACTTGAAAATTTAGAATATATAATGTTCTTCGTAAATCGGTCATCTGTGAGTGAAGCCAGGGGCTAATGCAATGGAGAAAGAAAAATGTTTGCATTCCAACATCTATGTTTGTTGACAAGTCATCAGGGCCATATATGTGTTCTCCCATGTAAAGAAATATACATTGTAGATGGTCAGTGTTGCTATTCCTGTTTAAATGAGCTACCAAGCACTTACTCTTATAAGAGAGAGAGATTTGAACAATTTCAGCTTTACATAGCCTAAACTGAAAACATTATTGTTATTGTGTAACTATAGCATAAATTGCATTAAGTCCTAGTTCATTTAAATCAAATTTTTCACAAATTTTAACTGTGTTAAAGAGGTGATACTATGCAACAATAATAATAATAATAATAATAATAATAATAGTAATAGATGAAAATGGCCACAACAAACACTGAAAATTCTTTGTTCATAGCTAATATCAAAAGCTTAGTTGACTTCATATGACTTATCAATTACACATTCTTATCATAGAAATCCTTTCTTCTACTTTTTTTAAGCTATGTGTATCCTATAAATTCTAATCACAAAGAATCCATTTATTTTGTGCAGAAGCAATCCACCATGGCTATAGAGTCTTTCTCTGACACTGAACTATACCTGTTTGTATTTGTTGACAATATATATGTCACTTTTCTTGGAATTGAGAGCGTTGGCTAAGGATTCCAGATCCTAAACTAGAAAAAATTAGTGTTCAAAAACAAATTTAAATCCCAGACTACCATAAGAGAAATAATTTATGGGTAACATAAAGAAATATCAAATTTGTTTTTAAAATTGTGGGCACTCTAATCTCACCGTGTCCACATTTAGAATTTTGTAATGACTTGCCCAGTTCACCTGTGAGGACCAGACAAGAGGACCAGGTAATTCTAGTCTGCATGCTTAGCCTCAGGTGAACCCTGCCTTGCTTACTTTGGATTCTTTGTCAAGTAGTATTGTCTGCTTTCTTCTGGCCACTTTCCTAACTGGTACTTTCTACTGGTAATCAAAGCCTTCTCTTTCGGTTATGTCATGCAGTACCCTAAGTTTTGAATATGAGGACCCAATTTGATGCTGTTGTTTTATTTGATTGATGGATGGTCTGGCACCTCAGATCTTTATTAAGTCCCATCCTTCTCTTCAAATGTATTGGCAGTTGTATGACCTTCCATATCAAAGTTTGTCTCATTTATGCCAATGTGTCAGATTTCCTCTGATAGCCATGGCACTCAATGTAGTTCACTTTCCCTTATACCCCCTCCTCTATTTGCATAAAAAAGCCAGAGCTACATACTATCCAGCTAAAACTCCTAGGAACATACAAAAGTTAGCTTGACTGATATTCTAGAACCTAAACTCTGGGTCTTAACATCATCAACATTGTAGTATTACTTAGTCTCTACCAGGATGTCTTTCACTGTTTATTCCTTTCAGCTTCCTTAGAAATTCTTGCAGTGTTTCTGGTGTCAGACTTCAATTTTCAAACCTTGTGCCAGAACAACTCTAAAAATCCTTGTTTAGAGTTTACATATTTATTTTTATATCAGGATCACCAGCCATCGGGGAAAATTAAATAAAAGCTACAACGAGGTATCACCTCGTCCCACTTAGAATGACTATTGTTCATAAAGCAGAAAATAATGAAAACTGCTGAGGATGTAGGGAAAATTTCTCCATATACATTTATGTGAGAATGAAAGCTAATATTATCATTACAGAATACAATATAGATAGTTCTTAAAAATATGAAAAGTGACCTATAATTCACATGACCCTACCATCCCACAGCTAGGACTTTGCGCAAAGGAAATTAAGTCAGCATACGAACGAAAATCTGTACCCTCACATTTGTACTGTTCCACTTTGCAGTAGCTAAGTTGTGGTATCTAACCAGGTATCCTATGACTAAAACCCGAATAACGAAATTATGGTTTGTATACATAAAATAATACTACTCAGCCCAAGAAAAACGAAATCCTTGGGCCACTAGCATTGTGGTGCATCAGAAAACACTATCACCTGTGGCACTAGACCTCCACATGGGCACCAGGTCCAGCCCCTGCCTGTCCACTTCCCTACTAGTGCACCTTGAAAAAGCAGCGATGATGGCTTTTGTCCTTGGATCCCTGCACACATGTGGAAGACTTGAAAGAAACTCTGGACTCCTGATTTCGGACAAGCCCACATCCAATCATTGCAGCCATTGGAAAGTGACACCAGATGGAAGAACTCTTCCCCCACTTCCCTTTTGTGGTCAATAAACAAGTCTTTAAAAATGAAAGCAATGAGATCCTGTATTTTGCAACAAAAAGGATCCAACTAGATGCCATTATGTTTAGGGAAATACACCAGCCTCCAAAAGGTAAGTATTTTATGTTCTTTTGTTTGCAGCTAGTATGTGAGGTACAAAAAAAAAAAAAATTGTAATGTGTAAATATAAAATTGACATCTTAAGATTCAATTATTAAGTATGCTCCTTGTTAATACTGCTATGCAATAGGATCATTTCTACTTTCTTTAAAACAAAAAGTTCCATCAGTAAGTGTGTTGATTGAATAACATTCTCTGTGTTCCATCAGCTAGGCTGGATATTCAGGGAAAAAAAAATCCACTTGTGACATTCTAGTGTGGACCCATGAGCTTAGTAGGGAGTCATAAATCAGAGATTGGCAGCAATATGTGGAAAGTGCAGTACTAACAAGAAAAGCAGTTAGATCTGGATCCATTTAAAAATATTTGATATTTATTCTAAACTTGGTTATGAAAAAAGAGGGTGGGGAGAGAGAGAATCTTGCATTCACTGATTCACTCCCCAAATGATTACACATTGGACTGGGCCAGATTGAAGCCAGGAGCTTCAATCTGGATCTCACACATGAGTGGCTGCATTCAGAGCACGTGGGGCATCTTCTGCTGATTTCCCAGATGGGTTGGCAGGAAGATGGATTGGAAGTGGAGCAGATAGGACTAGAGTTGGCATCCATATGTGATACCGGCATCACAAATGACACCTTAACCCACTGTCACCTGATGCCAAACAGTGGAGCTGACTTAGAGTTATGGTGGAGCTTTCTGAGAACCCATGGGAATCATGATTATACTATACTTCCAAATATGTATAATATAGGATATATAACATAGCAAGAACTTCAGATGATTTGGGCCAATGAGAATGAAGGGCATATAGTAGAAGTATGGGCTCCTGAGCCTCACCTTAGAGATCCTGGGACACCAACAACCCATAAGCTGATTTAAGATCAGAGTATTTTAGAGGCAGAGGGAGTTACCAAGTAATTACAGATATCATTGTGTTTCCACTCCAACTTTAATCAAGCATTCCTGTCTGTATGAGATAGTTATTTTATTTGTTTTGATTACCTTACCAGTGTTTCCACCAAAACGCTCATCTAAGATATCCTAGCATGTATAAATGAAATAAGGAACAGCACATTGAAAAATCCCTTTGTAAGTAACAGTGCCAACCATTTTGTCCTTCTGTTAACCATCCTTCTGATAATGTACTACACATTTAACTCCATTCTGGCAAGTGTAGTTCTTTAGCAAAATTAATTAAAATCACTCTGAAGACAGTTTCTGACTGAATGCTCCTTGCAGTTTTCATTTCTTACTAATCATAGTTTTTATTCAAAATAAGTACAAAATTAGAATCAGTTTCCTAGATACCATTTCCTCTATTTAATTATAAACAGTAGAATGTTATAAAAGAAATATATAGACCAGTTTCCTCTACAGTTGGATTAGTTTACTGAAAGTTATGATGAATAAAGCTTTTATTGGCAATAAACCACCTCTCTTAGAGTTAATTTATTTTGTGAT